GACCTGGGCAGAAGGCTCATCTCTCAATGGACAGTGTGCAGCACTGTTAACTTGTTTTTAAGCTTCAAGCTTTGGAAACTGCAAAGGTCTTTTAAGCTGCTGAGATGTAATCATTTCTCAGGCGGCACTGGCCAGTACTCCGGAGCACAAGCAAGCTCCACACACAAGTTTTACCAAAGCATGAACTGAACTCAGTGATGTTAACTCAGTAACACCCACAGGACTACAAGCTTCAGTTCCCTATTAAATTAATGCTCCTTCATTAGTCTGTAGACTCAATTTGGGTCCTGCAAAGACTGCTAGCACTGTCAGAGGCTCCTTCCTACAAAAAATGTATCGTCTAACATGGAGTATCTAGTGGTAGGCACTTTGCATGCCCGAGGATTTAAGATTAACTTCCTAAATCAAGTGGGCTTTTGAGAAATTCAATCTATAAAGCTGGAGGACGAGTAGCAGGAGAGTTTTACAATCTCCTTTTTATACAAAGCATTATAAAAGTACTAAAAAAATGGAAATAAATCAGTTAAGAATATAAACGTCTACCACACTGTAGCAGCAACTAGGAAGAAGTTGTCCCCCTTCTTCAAAATGCCTCATCCTGATGCTCAGACATTTGCTTTGGAGTGAAGGGGAAGACAAGGCAACGCAGAACATACCTGTTGCTTTGAGCAGGGGAGAGTGAAAAGGATTACTAAGAGGCCTTCATCTTTTTTCTATAAAAGACTGACTAATGACCTGCTTTTTATAGGTGCCTGTGTAATCACAGCTGTAAAATCAGCAGGATCTTCAGGAAGTTAATGATCTCTGTAAAGAAACGCCTTGAGCATCTTAGGGCAGGAGCTCTGGAACCTTGAAAGACAGATGGAAACAAAGCAAGCTATTACAAGAAAAAGGAAAAAGTACTTTAAAAGGAGAGAGGAGGAGGGTAAGGTTATGCTAGTGACAAATCTAAGTTTTCAAGATGTCATGAAATCAAACACCTACTACTCAGAAGCAGAACTGTTTAAGTGAGTAGATTTAATTAGTACCTATTAATAGATAACTCGGCAATTTGTAGAGGCTCCTTGGTTGTGGTTTATAGCTTCTGATGGAGTGACTTTATAAACACTATAAAAATGTATGGTACATACTTAAGTTATCCATTTACCGACAATGTTTGATGGTCCTATAGCTAATTTGGAACTCATTTGAAGCATGCAATTATTTCATCCTGAAATTACATTACATTCACAGAATAAAACCCACAGTGATACTGAAAGACAGCAATGGTCATTCACTCGTGACCTTGCTCACTTGTGAAAGGACATGGACCTACTGGAGCGAGTCCAGAGGAGGGGCATGAGGATGATCAGAGGGCTGGAGCACCTCTCCTATGAGGACAGGCTGAGAGAGTTGGGGCTGTTCAGCCTGGAAAAGAGAAGGCTCCAGGGAGATCTTATAGTGGCCTTCCAGTGCCTGAAGGGGCCTACAAGAAAGCTGGGGAGGGACTTTTGACAAGGGCAGGTAGTGATAGAACAAGGGGCAATAGTTATAAACTGGAAGAGGGTAGATTTAGATTAGATCTTTACTGTGAGGGTGGTGAGACACTGGAATAGGTTGCCCAGAGAAGTTGTGGATGCCCCCTCCCTGGAAGTGTTTAAGGCCAGGCTAGATGAGACTTTGAGCAGGTGGATTGGAAACAGATGATCTTTAGGATCCCTTCCAAACCATACCATTCTATGATACGATTCTATGAAATAAAAGTTAGCATGAATGAATAAATTATGTTCCTAGTCAAACATGTTTTCTTATTTGCCCAAAATACCAAACTGAAAGTTTTGTACCCATGTGTTGCCATGTACCTGCAGTGTACCTCAAAAACCACACTCAGTTTCTAACTAATCTTCAAAGCATTCACTCTTTCTAGTGAGTTTTGGTGAGAACATTTTTTTTTTTTTTTAATGTTCTTGGGGAACACCTCACCTACAGAAATATCAGAGGGCTAGAACACCCTCCTATGAAGAAAGGTGAGGGAGTTGGGGTTGTTCAGCCTGCGGAAGGGGAAAGCTCCAGGGGCAACTTATTACAGCCTTTCAATATATAAAGGAGGCTTATAAAAAACATGGAGAAATACTTTTTACCAAGGCCTACTGTGATAGGACAAGGGGAAATGGTTTTAAACTGAAAGAGGATAGTTAGATTGGACATACAAAATTTTTTACGACGAGGGTGGTTCTTTGGGAACAGGTTGACCAAAGAAGTTATGGATGCCCCATCGCTGGAGGAGTTCAAAGTCAGGCTGGATGGGGCTTTGAGCAACCTAACCTAGTTGAAGATGTCCCTCCTCATGGCAAGGGGGTTGGACCAGATGAACTTTACAGGTCACTTCCAACCCACACCAGTCTATGATTCAAATTCATCTTAGGTTTCATGTCATCCCTGCAACTTGAAGTCATATGCTGACTGATTTGGTCAGCATATGCTCAATGTGTCCAACAAGACATACAATAGTGTCGCCAACTACTCCTTCTACTCAAAGGCCTCAAAGTGGTGATTTATTTTTAGACTTTCACTCAGGCTTCAGAGCACTCATTCAAGAGGAAGACATCCTCCGTTCATCCCTTCTACCTGACTCAGTTTAAACCCATACCATCTATCTCCTTAAAGATGAGCAGAGGGTTATTTTAGAGAAGAAACTTCAATTAGTAAATATCAAAGCCTCCTTGCGACTCTTTGGAGGACACATTTCAATATCAACAGAACTATTAGAGCTGATAATACACATTTCATTCAATTTCCTCATACTGGCCATCCAAGTGCTACTATACGCTTTGTCACTGAGATTCATGCATCAGAAGAAACACAAATTGGGGTCTTTAGAGCAAATTCATTTCATCAGATAAAGCTATGGGGGAAAAAAAAAAAGAAATCTGAAGTGGTGGATTCCCAGTTCTTCTGTTTCTATAATGAGCATGTGAAGGTGCCTGCATTCTTGGAAACAGCACAAGGACATCAGATACAGGAAAAGGCTTATCATAATTCAATTCTGCATTATTTTTTAATGTCTCTGATAAGTGATATCAGCTAAGACCATTGCTTCTGCACAGATTCCTCACCAAAAATAAATGATTTGTGCCTGCACCGTTCCCTTCCCCACATACATAAACTCTTAATCCCACACAGAATTATTCTGCCAATCACAGGACCATACTAACACCCATGAACCAATGGCACTACTAAGTCTTTGGCTGCATGCATGTACACATACATCCAAACTGAAGTTTTCCCTGTCTGCACACCAGATCCAACCCTTATTTGAGTATTACAGTGTATACACCTGATCATTTCTGAAGATGTAAATTTATTGAAATTAAGTGAACCATATAGCACTATAAACAGACGAGCTCAAAAATAAAACTGTTTCTGAACTATTATTTCTATGCCTTTATTATCTATACTAAAATAACATTTGAAGGTTTAATTTCAAACTGATAAATATATCTTTTTCTCTTCCGGATAAGTAATTGAAAAGATTTATCTTTTCTTAGCCATGACTGGGAGAGGTGAAGAATAAACTTCACCAACTAAAAAACCAAAACAAAACAAAAAAACAAACCCCACTTAATGGAGGGAAACATTTAGATGAGTAGTATGCCAAGTAAAATACTTTTTCAACAGTAAATTTTAATTGTACTTCAGCTTCTCAATTACAATACAGAAGAAAACCTAGTATTTAGTCCAGCAGCCTATATGCAAAGATTATGCTAACTATTACGAATTATGAAAAGTTAACCCTATCCTAGAAAAAACCAGGACACATATGTGCAAACATATTGTAGGAGAGAGGAGTCACTTACTTGATGGTCCATGAGAGTCTCTGTTATCACCATGATGCTGTGTACACATACAATTGAAGAACGAAGAACAGCAAACAAAAAAATCCAGGCCAGGAAGAAGCAAGGGCACAAAAGCAGCAGCAGTGGGAAAGAAGGACAATGAAAACAGTGTTAGTTCATAACTAAAATACAACATGCATCTCAATACCAAACGCAAGACCTCAAGAGACTCAACAGTTTGGAAAAGTTGAAGCAACAAAACTGACAAATATGCTTATAAAGAAGCCATGATTAGAAGCCATCATTGTATATGGTTAGTAAACAGCAACTGCTCCAACTGCTAATTCTGAGTGGAACCTGTCCATCAGCAATTTAGTGCTCATACGACTTGATACACAATATATTTTAAGAAATTTTTAGCTGGAATGTTTTCAGAAGACTAAAGCTCTGAAAAAAGCTGAAATAACACAGAGTTTCTTCCCAAAACCACTCCACTTTGACGGGTGTTTTGGAAACACAAAAACTTTTAAGTAATAATTAATGCGCAGGCACCCACTAATGCCAGATCCAAATCTAACTGGTTTTGCACACAAACACGAAATTAGAAGCCACAGACTCAGTTCATCTGCAAACACAAGTAACATTTTAAATTGCTTAGGATACAAGACAAGCAGTGCAGTTTTAAATTAAGAGGACAAATTATATCAAAGTATTTCCAAAGGACAGAGTTGTGTGAAAAAAATATCTCTGTCCCACTGAAAGCATCAAATACAGGCACTACAGGAAAGTAGTTACAAATAATAGTTTGTACTCCTTTATGACATCTGATCTCAAGTCTTTTATAAATCATTGCTACCCAAGGCCACAATCAAGGTTGATCCCACTGTGATCAGCTGTGTACAGATGGAGGATAAGTTCTGCTTATGTCTTGAAGGATTTGACTGCCTTTGAAATTCATGAATAACAGAAAAGGAGGAGAAAACAAGCATAATGATCAGCATGCACATTTCCATCTTAAAAATAAAATAAATAAAACAAATCAAAACATGCTGTATCTTCTGTACCCCAAACAAAAAACTTCTGCTCCATAAAGGAGAGAAATCCTCGCCCTGCTTTGAAGAGGCTCCAATCTTGCCTCTCTGTTATCAAGACTAAACAGCAGGAAATGTAAAAAAGAAAAATAAAAATCTTAGCAATCAGGAGTCTTGTCTTACACTCCTGACCTCAAAACATGGATTTTTATCCCTCACAGCTGCCTAGGAGTGTTAAATTGATGCTGCAACATGCAAACGTAAAGCACCGCAATGAGAATACTGCAATTGCAGTACACATCATTGGGAAGGTGAGGGAGCCTTTCATAATTTGGCACTTTCTGGAAAAGGACTTGATTAAACAAGAGAAGCTGAAATAAATTATAAGCGCACTTGATAAAAAACTTTCTATCCCTGTCAGAGACTAAATTTAGGTCAAAGAGTGAAACATTGCTAAAGGAACCCACGAACTTACCAGACAGGTTTAGGTACTAGTACAGGAAACACATTCAAGAATTCAGTGGTTTTCAAGGCAAAGTGTTTCTTTTTAATGCACAGGTAACATACTGCAGACTGAGAAACAATTTATGTTCTGACAGAAACTGTATTACCCTATGCTGGTTTTAGATTCAAGAGAACAGTGACTGACAGGAGAGCAAGATAAAGGAGTTTGCAGTAACTGTACAGAGATCCAGCAACTGACTGAAGGATTGGGAACACCATTATTCAGGACTGGTCTGCTTTATTTCACACTAAAAGTTGGAAAGCAAGAGAAGAGAACTGGAAAAATAAATTGTTAACAGACATAAAGCAGCAGAAGTTTCTGAGACTCAGCTTGTTGGCTCACAGTGCATACTTACACGTTGAAGAAATGAGTGAAAAAGCACCGCAGCAGGTCCTGTCTCACTGCCTGCCTCTCAAGCAGCCTTGACCAAGATACAACATGACACCACAGAGCAGGGCAACCTGTCACCTGAGACGATGCAGGGGCTTTTTATGTAAATATTTCAGCATTGCATGGTTAATCCTATGAACTGGTACAAACAGCTCCTACGCCAGAGGCTGAAACACAAGCCTGACTAACTCTGTCCCTGATCTTCTCCAACAGACATTCTGTTTACACACCAAACTGCCTCCGTTGCTGGTCAACCCCTTCTCTTCATTAGAACTATCTGGGCCTGTGTATTTACCTAAAACTTGCAGAACATGTATTTCTGAATATTGATGCAAGATGTTAAGATACTGAAATGAGACTATTTCAGCCAAAAAGACCTCCTCATGTTCCAATAGTCTATTGCACCTCTATCATCTGCAATTCGTATCACTGCAGATTGGGGATTCAAACCCCTAAGGGAACAAAATATGATAGTTTTGCTACTTCACTGTTTTCACTGAAAAGAATACCCCCAGGGAATTACTGTTCATCACCTCCCACAATTTTTTTTCTAAATATACAAGATTAAGAGAAACATACACTTATTTCCAGAGACACAGCCTACTTTTATTTTCACATTTATTTAATTGATGACTTTCATTACAGATTATACAGCACAACTCATTCGACAAGGGAGGTTTTCAACACTACATGATTGATTTAGCTTCTGCTGAGGCACATCTAGTTAAAAATGTTGCTACCAAAACACACAAAACCTAGTCCTCCTCCCAGAAGAGTTGTAGATTAAGACTAATGAGGAATGAAACTAGCAATATAAACCATCACATAAGACAGAAGCCATAATTCTGTTTTCGTACAAAACCAGCTCTGTGCTTCAGAAAAGTCCTATTTTTAGACATTACTTTATCAGAAATAAAGCTTAATAACAACTGCTACTAAACCTAAAATTAAATCTGCCAATTTGTCCTATAAAACAAAATCCTTTTCCTGTTGAAGATTAGGGTAAAAGCAAAAATATATGTCATGCTAGCATGACTGAATCTCACACTTGAAAAGATGTTTTTTAAAAATACTCACTAGATTTACAATCTAAACCTATAGCTAAATTCTTAATAGAGTTTACATAAACATTTTAGGCCAAGTCAGAGTTTTCACCCTGCTGAAGACAGACTTCCTGAAGGCAGTCTCTAATACATGTAATTCATTAAGATTAATCATGTTACATTAAAATTCAGGGCCACTAACCCAACCTGCAAAGCTGATCAGTAAAAAGGACCTCTCTTGTATGCGTCAAGAAAAAAGGTACTTTTACGTCTGCTGATGTATTTAAATAGCAAGGACTGACTGTACAAGATAAGTCAAAGGCAACAGATTTATGAAATACATGTTCTGGTAAAAATTACAGCCAACTAGAAAGTTTTCTAAAAGAAAAATCATTTACAAAAATAATGGTTTACATCAAACAATCCCATGTAATGTTCTGAATTCTGGGCCAGTGAGGTTTGTTTAAATTAAATTATTATTTTATAGAAAAATAGGCAAAAACTGTTCTCAAACAAGAAATAAAAGTATCCAGTATTTTGCATTGCTTTAATGGTGTCAGACTACAAAAATAGTTTCCTGAGCTGTTGTAACATTTGTGGTCAGATAAAGTATATATTAATCTAATTATTAGACAGAAAAAGCATTTCATGTCAGACTTTTCTCCCTAGATTGATTCTGGAAAGAAAAGCCCACAGTATTAAGCTGAGATATCTAAAAAGGGCTTTTTCAGGTATCTCCTAGAAACCCCTTAAATGACTTAAAGCTCCTAGCAAAAAGTTGATCAGTATTCTTCACGCATGTTTGGAACTCATGTATTTAATGAATTTTAGTCAGACAAATGGAACTTAAAAAAAAAACAAAGCACCTCAGATTGCAGCTAAAAGTCTGGAATACTGAAACATGATCCTTCAAAAAATTTGAAATTCTGGGAAATATTAGGATTTGCATACACTTAAGGTCTTCAAAATTACTGAGTCCAATCTCTCTTAAAATATATTCTTTTTCTTGTTAATATTCCAGTTTCTATTTTTTACTATGTTGTACACCAGATCAAGTATATTAGACTCCCAGATAACCTTTCAAAAAATGTTTTTAACAGCTGTACTGCAACACACAAAAATTTGCATTGTAACGGCAATTAAGATAGACAATTAGCCCACTAAACGATATTTTGGTAAGAAATGCTTAGAGTAGCCAATCAGTATATCATCAGTTAAAAACCAAAATTATTCTGAGATGACACTTCAGGTGCCAAAGCACATAGTATGAAAGGCAAATCTATCCTTACACTTAACATTCTTCTGAAGTAGACTTGGTAAAACATACAGAGCCTCATTTCAAGATACCTCCTTAAAATCATGCTATTGTGAAGGCATGTCAGGAAAAGAAAACTAGTACATTTCAAGTTAAAGTTTTTTGCAAACTGGTACTTTTTTAATTTTAGGAAACAAAGAGCACAGCAACTGAACTGACAAGTGGCTTGGTTTTTTAAAAAAAAAATCCTATTGCACAGCTGACAAATGATACTCATAGTATGTTGTGCCTGGAATATAGATGCATTAGCCCTCTAAGAAATCAATTAATTTATTTATTACTGAAAAAAGCCAAGGATTTTCTTAATGCACAGCAGAACAGCTTGTCCCCAAATTCATCACTTAAGATAAAAACAGTAATAAAACACTTGATCAAATTAATATCTCTATGTAGTAGTTGAACCATCACAAATAAAGTTTATCACTAATGAGGTGTTAAACTTGAGCTTCACCTCAGATGCAGAAAAGATATCCTATTTTGTCTTTGTGAGGCAGTGCTTTGTATCAGAAAGTAGCTTTGGAAACTAAAAAGCATTTCCTGCTTCACCTATTACAGTGCTTCCACGTAACAGATTGTGGAAAAATTAAATTCCTAAATAATTTCAACATTATGATGATGACTAAGTGTCATAGTACCCACTAGCCTTTCCAGTTTTTAAATTGTGCTTAGAAAGAAAGCTGGTATTTTCACTACTTCAGAAATTTTATAATTAGCAGAAATTATCAACTCTTACACCTGAAATTACTCTGATAATATATACTCACTACT